GTCCAAGGCCGGACGTTTATTGATGGCTGAGGAAGTTGATGGTAAGTCGAAGAATTATGTTTTGGATGTTTTGGGGTTTTAGTTGAATTTCGGATCATTTGTGTTTGGGCACATGCCATGGAATTCTAAGTATGATATAGAATGATGTTATGTTTTGGATTGATTTGAGGACCAAAGTCCAATTAATAAAAATGTGTAAACCCCAGATGACACGCACATGTTGTGCAGGTCGAAAGCCCTGGCGAGGGGGGCACCACCGACGAGACCTTGTTGCAGACGAAGCGAGAGCCAGAGGATGCTGCTGGGGTGGTGGCAAGATTGGGGTGTTGAAAAGGAGAACTCGTGGGAAAAAGAACATAGTCTGTTGCATGAACAAGTGGACCCAAGAAGATTTGGGTGGCAAAAGAAGGATAACATAGTCAAGAAAAACGACCGCCCTTGTCTCATCTTGTCTCCACGAACTGAAGAGACCTCCAACAATTTATAAAACATTCAGGATGTCGCTTGACACTCGCTCGTTTGTTCCATGCATTCAATCTCTAAATCAATAGTCGACCTGGGCCGATCTAGCCACCTAAACCTCCTTAAGGAGGAACTGAACAAAGGACGCGTCACTAGAACTGAGTCAAGGCACGCGTCCTCAGTTTGTGCACCACCAGTCCTAAAGCGCCGCCTTCTTCCTGGCTGGATTGAACACGCCCAGGGTAAGGTGTCCCTTGCCGCGGAACCTCCCCAGATCATATGCAGTACCAAAGACCGGACCGCACTCATCCAACGGATAGACTTCCCATTTAGGATCTGAGGACTACTGCTGCAGTCGAATGCCCTGGCAGGGTCGAGAGCGCTAAAAGCGCAAGTTGGCCGCAAACTGCCCAGAAGACTCAGCTCGTGCGGCTGTTCCCAATAGCTTAATTCTTGTTACTACTAGTAAGGCACTTGTTCCTAGCAGCGATGCACTTGTTCCTAGTAGCTTAACAAGAAAGCTCATTTTCCTTCGAGTTGTTCTGGGTCACCTGACCCAATCATCATGTGATGCCCGTGTTGTTGGGTTTTCCCTTCCAGCCCTCGGAAGGACTCGGCGGACGGTGGATGCCACATCATTCTACCTGACAACCGCGTGGTGGCGGTGGAAAGTCAGCTCAGTCGGCGTTTGGTGGATGAGTTGTTGGGCAATGCACCCAAGCTGCAGTTGATGGCGGAAAAAGACTCCGTAATTACTACATATTCCAATGTAACCAAGCACCTCCCAGTCTGGCTTGCCCCATGTTCAGGCTAATTGTGTTCATCTACCAGGTGGCTTGGTTCGTTTGGAGAGTGTGTATCGAACCGGACAATAGGAACACTCGAAGATGCCTTGCGTTGGTATGGAGGCACCTGGAGGGAGGTAAACATATCTATCATTCGTCCGGAAAACAAGTCATAATCCTGCAAGGTCAGTACCAGATCCTAGCAAAACAAGAGGCAGTTTGGCACTTGCAGGCCTGTTTTCCCTGAAGCACTTGATTCGTTCCTGATCCTCATGATGTCCTCAGGTGCCACCAGAGCGGGCCAAAAGCAAGGCCAGAGGGAGAGCGTGTGGATCAAAGTGGTGAAAGTCGCACATCAACTTTGGCAAAACTTGACCCAGATCTTGTTGGCTCACATCTAGACTCTGTGAATACCCTGTTTGGGGATTCAACAGAGTGTGTCAGTGTCGTGACACCCACATCGATGTTTCTTTCTGAGTTAGGAACCCCTCAAACCATGAAGCAAAGTTTGTCAAGCCTGGAAAGTAGTGGGTCGTTGCAGGGGTCTTTGGACTTTATTCAACTGTTGAAAGTCCAATACTTTGTTATCTTTGCCTCCAAGCGAGAACTGACTAGATATTCCTTGAAGACATCCCTGTGACTTCCTACTACTGTTGGAGATACTAAGATTTCTTGTGTGCATCTCCTGAGGTTGGCATCAAAGGTTCCTTTTGAACTAATTACCTCGCTTGTTGATCCCCTCCAAGTATAGTTCTTTAGATCTTAAGATTCTTTGGAGGAAAAAAGCAACGAATCAATGAATCCTTGTGACAGATGACCAGACAACTCCATGTTTGGCCGAGGGCACCAATACTGAGCCACCCGAACCACCGGGGACCCCGTGGCCGGAGCCCGGCGGCGCGGTTTCGAGGAGGATGAGCTGGAATTCAAAGTGCCCAGCCACGGGAAGCATCGCCGGCGTCAGGAGAGCGGCTGGGGACGGTGAAAGGGAGAAAGTCATGGAAAGCTTGAGAAATTAGAGTATTAGAGAGAGAGAGGGGCAACAGAAAGAAGGTGGTGGTGCGAGAATCCAGTTCTTGCAACGGAGAGGAAAGGGCATTCATGAGGAAGGGGAAGAGCATTTGTACGATTTGTAGCCGGAGAGTGCATGGTTGATCATGTTTGTATTTTGGTGGTGAACAGTTGTGGCACAAGCAAGGTGAAAAGAATGAAAAAGACATCATTGTTGCACCAAAAGACCTCCCATGACGAAGTCATCCTGCAAGCAAAGACCAAGCAAACAGGGTCGGTTGTTGATCCACTTCTTAGTTGCTTTGTACCATATAAAAATCTCCAGTGGATCCCTGTAGGATCTGGGCTCCGGTCGAGGCCCAAAAATGAAAGTAGCACAATATGAACTGACCAAACTTCCCCTCATTTTGGGGAACCTTCCCAACACCATCCAATTGCACCTCATGGGAACTCAAGCTTGGGAACTCCGATGAACTCCGCAACAAAACCCCGCGCGAGCTGCCAAACGAGCACGCGAGCTGCGTTGCGCGCCCGTGCTTCTCCGTCACGACGCACTGTCCGGGACCTGGCTCCGTCCTCGACTTCTTCCCAGGGCGATGAGGTCTATCTGGGCGAGTCCCAGAAATCTCCACGGAAGGCGCGCCGTTGCGACGGCACGGCACGGCACATAAACCGCTCGGGGAGCGAGTTGTCCGGCCCCTTTGGGGGAAGAGGTGGTGAAGTCGAAACACTTTTGGGCAACATCAAGCTGCTTGGCTCTGGGCTAAGCAAGGTCATAAGAGGTTTAGTTCATGATGTTGAATGCATGTTTTTCGTTGCCAATTGCGCTCTCACTGAAGATTGGCATCCGTGGCATGTAGTTCCCTCAGTCTGCGGCCCGCGCTTGCAACAACATGACTGTACCATTGGACACTTTCCTGATCTCACTGCAGTTTAACAACTTAATCAAATCAACTTTGTTGTTGTATCATGTTGCAATCCAATTGTGACACACTTGCATGACATTGGCACGTGTCGTGTGTCATGAAGACTCCAACTTGCCTCATCCACACGTCTTGCCTCGGGCACGGACCGCGCAGATGCGGAATCCCTGGTACTTGCCGCCCAAAGTCTGGTACAGTGGAGAGATGGGCAAGGCCTGAAGCGCGGTCCTCACACACAGCGGCTCTGTGTGACACTTCTTTGTTGTGGAAAGAGGCGGAGTTGACGAACGTGTGTGTTTGTGGTCTTCCCTTTTTGCATGGTGACAATGGCATTGCTTGGTGCAGGGGTGCGGTGACATGTGTGGGTCCATTAGTATGTCAATTCCAAAACGACACTATTTTGAAGTCGAGATTGCTGGATAGCTGCTTTTCAGCACTGAACTCCGAATGCTGCAGGACCCCAATGAGGACTTGGGCTTGGGCTTTCCCTACGACACCTACCTGGGGGAAGTTCGGCCTAAACGAGCGCAGGAGGCGTGGTTTGGCTGGACGAAGAACTCGCATCCATTGAATAGCAAAATAGATGGGTGGAAGCCTTGCAAGTTCTACAAGGGAAAGTTCACCCAGGAAGGTTCAAGGGTTCACTTTGGAACCCTAGTCAGATTAGTTTTTTCGGAGCGAAGATTTGTGTGGAATGGTGGAAATGTGATCTGTGAACCTATTGTTTGAGGGTGGGAAAAGCCCACAACGAAGACACGTCAGTTTGTGAAGGTCTCCACAGGGTAATGGTGACTTTGTCTCACTCCAGTCTGCATGGAACTTCAATCAACAGAAATCTTGGAGGACAACAGGGTCTTGGAGAACAACAGGGAACCAAGCCTTAGGCAAAGACACTGACGTTTTGGCGCGATGACACGCCAGGAGGAGCCGCCCACTTTTGAGAAGGACATTTCGGCCTTTCTGGAAACGACCAAGAAGCATTTCCAGGCTCGCTGAATCTACCAGAAGCCTGTGATCAGTTGTAATTCAAGGTGATGACTCACTGCCTAGGCTCAGGGACATCGATTACCTCATTGTCTTCAAGTTGCCGTGGGACAAATGGGCCATGGCTGAGCGCGATAGATTGCTGATCGGTCAGTTCTTCCATGTGACGGGTCAGTTTCTGGGAGGACACATCTTGAGAGTTAAGACTTAAGGCAAAACCCAAGATGCCCCAAGCCTCATGTTCGGCAGAAAACCTCCGTTGCCACACTCTACCAAGAACCTCAAGTCAAGAACCTCAAGTCGTTAAACTGTTTGTTTTGGGAGGATGTGGAGAAGAGGGTTACATCGGCAGGTCACGAACCCTTGATTTGAGCGGCAAATTTCCTTTGCCGAGATGAGAGAACTGGGTGACATCACAGCACTAAACAGGTCTTCTGCAAGTGAGAAAGACGGGCAAACACCCTCAAGCTCTTCTGTACCTAGCCACCATCTTCTCTTGGAACATGCAGGGTATACCTGTCAGCATGCCTTATGAATGATCGTCTAACTGACCGAACACACTTCTTCACTAACAAGCCCGATGGGACGTCAACACTGGTGAACGACTACTCCTTTCGTCACACTCCTTTCTTCATCCAGGGGGTCATCGGACCTCCCCCTACCCACGAGGAGAAAACGTAGAGAAGACCCGATTGGCGAGGTGTGTAGACGGCGGCGGTGGCCTCTTCCAGAAGGACTGGGGCGCTTGCGCCGCAAGCGGAATGTAAGCAGAGCGCAAAGTGTGTGGGCAGCGAGGGATTGGATTAGAAGCTGCGGACATTCTGGCTGCCAATTTGGCTCGATCCATTTCTAGTCCTCTATCATCATCTATTTGTCGTTCTTTTCGCCATTGCTTTGTCGACCTGATTTGTGTTCCATCTACTCAACCACATGTAGCCGAAGATTTTATGTTTCAGAATTGGAAGAACCCAGCTTTGGACTCCTTGACGGGTTGCAAAAGTATAGATGAAAACACTTTATTTGTGGCGGTTCCCTCGTTTTGAGAATACGCCCCTGAACCTCAAATCAACCCATGATGGGTCCAACCGCAGAAGATCCATTTCCTTCTCCGGGCTGGCAAATCTTGCGCCTGGGCTCACACCACCTGCACAGACATGCCTGCAGAGCGGAAAAAGTCGAGGGCGGAGACCTCCTTAGATAGCTTGTCAAATTCTTCCGCGCTCAGTCAGTGATATCATTCTAGTTTAGTAGAGGATATCAGGATATCAGTGATACTACCTTAGCTGGTTAGCTAAAGTCTTAGGGCCAGCAGCACTCTGGTGAGCATCCGGACTCGAAGGTAAGAATAATGATCAGTGCAAAGGTTCAGCCTTACTGGATTTAGTCGGAGGTGAAATCAGAAGGTAGTGCATGATCCGCAGCCATAGACATCAGTACTCTTAATCCGCCTCACATGTCCATGTCTCATTCAGCAAATAGAATTGATGTCTATACAGTGTACACCTTCTCATGTTTTGACTTGTTAGTCCTTAAAACTCCATTCAACCCATGGAAAAAGGATGAAAGATCTGAACCAACAAGCACAGCTTCAACACCCACGAGACATGCGCCCCCGCTGAACGGGGGTGCCGTTGACACGCGCTCCGCAATGGCATTGTGAGGATCATGAGTTCCAGCCATGATGACTTGTTGAGCGCGAAGCGACTCTTGGCAAGCTAATGGCGGTGTCTCGCAGATGGCGTTCAAGGTTTGTTGTCCGTTTCATGATTTCATGGTTTCATTTGCTGAGTTTTGTTCAGGGTCGCACCTTCCAACCCCAACTCCACTCCCAGCCCATCAATCCGCCCAGCTTGTGGCCAATCCATCGCTTGTTAGGGCTGGGCAAGGAAGTCTCATTGACCCCGAGTTCTTTAGGTCTGGCTGCCCCTTGTGTCACCGATCCATGGATCCATGTTCGCTGTTTCCCCTTGTTCCATTCCGCGCGGCCAAGCGCCGGGTGCTAAAGGCTGGTGGCATGTAGATCTTGGAACCAGGACGACCCTCCAAACCGTGGTGGTCCCAATCAGACAAATTACGATGTTCAGTCGGAGTTAAATGGGGTGCCACAACTCACACTGGACTTGGGCGGCACGAGCGCGAGCGCTGGACGAGGGCGGTTGGTCGAGGACTGGTCTGGGACTTCCATGAAAAGCTGGAGACCTGTTGTGTGAGCGAAGTGCAGAAGATCTTGGATGAGCAACATGGCCAGCCAATCCTTGTTTGTGTATGTTTCATTTTGACTTTAGACTAGACTAGACCAGCGAACCTGAAAACATCTGAAAAACAATATAGAATTAAAGAACTGTTTGATGCGTGAAAGAAGCCAAGAATCATGTGTCCGCTTCAGCCAATGGGGTCATTGGATCGATTGGATCCTGCGACCTGAAGGATCGCCGTCGCCTGTCGCCGTCGTTTGGCGGTCGCCGTCCAAACGGGTCGCTGAAGGATCTCCTTTCGCATTTGAACCTGAGCTGCTGGTAGTTAGGAAAAGAGATTCCAGATCCGAACCTTCTCACCTTCTCACTTTGGGGGAGATTCCATGGATCTGAAATAGACCTTCTCACTGGCCGTACTCACTATCTAGACCTGAGATACAAAATCTAGACCTTTTCCATGCGTACTTGGGGGCGAGTTGCCACCCCCCCAGGTATGTCTTGGATCCTGCGACCTACGTCTTCCGCTGCGTGCATCCCTTCCGTGAGCTGCGGGGCACCAGTGCGGCTGCACAGTTCTGGAAGCCTTTGAAGCAGTCCTTTCAAAGGTGGGGATGACAGGACATACGGTCAATAACAAAATGAATCTATACAAATGTATGCTGACAGTGAGATACTCTGACATATGGGTCTTCAACTACCAATAAGGCTGATGGGTCTTCAACTACCCATGTGAGTAGACCCATAGAGCAAATGAAGCACTTCAAGCTACCAAGTAGGAGCTTGATGTCCCTGAGTCGATAGGAATTGCCCCTTGACCCACAGACCCATGACTCACCTCTATGCACCGGTAAAAGGATGCAATGGCGCTCGGACATTTTGATTGCTGGCCAGAATTCCGTTGGCAGTGGTCTATGGGTCTTGTCCATGGGCTTCTTGGACGCAGCTGGCGTTGACATCCTGTGCTTGAGGTTGACTCAAATGGTCAAAAGTGAGCAGTGAGGAAGGTAAAAGCTCAAAGCTTCCGAACTTGGAAGTTTGGAATATGCCCTGCCACACATTAGTTGCAACTTGTCAAACAAGAGAGCACAAATTGGCAACGAGGCCTTGGCACATGTAACAAGAGAAGGGAGAATAGACCTTGCAAAGAAATCGAACAAGAAGGATTTATCATGATTCATCATCAACGGTGGAGGATTTGCTGATTGTCAATCCACTATGTTGTTTGAATATGCATTTGTTCACCTTTCCATTTTGGATCGCATGCAACCTTCATCAACCGAAAAGATGGTGTGATGTTGATATTGCTGGCAAATCGCAGAAGAGTTTTTACAAGTTTGAGTTATTAGTTGGATGTCACCAATGAGCATAAGACATCGATAAATTGAAGTCAGAACACATGCTGAGAAAGTTCACAACCAAGGCTGATCCAGCACACGTTTAGTTGCTAGCATGTTCCTACCCCTAGCTTTGGAAGAGGTCCGACCGATTCCTTCAGAAGAAAACAAACGAGCTCAGCCCGACCACCAGCCCGACCGGCGGCGAAACGAGGTCATTTCATGGGTCTCTTCGATACGGATTGGTTGGGCTTGCGGGCCACGCGGCAGCTGCAGACCTTGCGCTACGCGGAGTTCTCAGAGGTCTCTGTGACTTCAAAGAGACCTGGCAGAACGGGAAGACACGAGTGGCACGTGGGCAACGGAGCTGGTGGAGGGGGCATAGACCATGGGTGTACGATCGGATGTAGGTTTTTCCGTAGGGAGACTCGAAAGAGAAATGCAAACGATGACCGATGGAAGCCCTTCGATTGAGGCTTGTTTAGGATGTAAGACTTGGGTTTGACGCACTTTGCAGCGTGAAACAGACTGGCTGTTGAGATTTGGACCCCTTCAGTGCGGAGGGAACAGGAATTAGTGGGAGGAATCAGGAATTAGAAGGAGAGGTAGAGTCTAAGCACACCTACGAAACTGTACGACTTTTGAGGGAGTTCGAGGTGATGTTAGCTGATGTTGGTTTGGAGCTTCCCTTTTGAAGAACGAAGGCTGATTGATGCTGGAGTCTTTCTCAAGGGAGTTTGTGTTGCCGACAATTGTCGGAGACTTGACCTGTTACCGACGGGTAAACTGGTTGATTTGTCCTTTGTCTTTTGAGGGGCACTCTTTCTTTGAGCCACAAAGAAATCTGAGGAAGGTGGTGCAGACTGGTCTTTTCCTCGACATTGTAGGGTTGATGCAGGCAAATCCATTGCTTCTGGCGGTGAGGATATCAGCCTGTGTGTGTAGTTGGGATGCGCAGGTCGCGATGCTTAGAAGTCAGTTCTATGAGTCTACAAATGTGAAGAGAGAGAGAGAGAGAGCGAGAGAGTAAATTATGAAACCAAAAAGTATATGATACTTGCAACGTTACTTCAAGAGGATAAAACACTCGAACATGTTTTGGACTTTCTTGAGCGTGCTTGAACATTGTTGCAGCAGAATATCCAGGTCAATTCATTGACCTCTCGGGGTTTTACAACTATTCACCGGTGCTGCTCGCTAGGCGTTGGGGATGAATCCGTTGCCGCCCTCCACGGGCGTGAACTTCTGCTATCCCGGACCACGAACTCATGATGGGCTCCACTTGAAGGACAATGCACCGGAGAAAGAGGGTTTGCAAACGCAAGCGTTGGTGGATCGCAACTGGGCAACGAAGGCCGCCATGCGCTTTTTATTGACAAGACATGGAGGTCTGAGTGAAGAGCTCATGAAGAGCTCCAAGAGCACAGGACATGCTGTTTCCAAAGTAGTTCTAATATCTTTAAAAGTGGTTTATAAATCATTTCATATGATTTGAGCTGTTTGACTCTGAGGTATGATTGATGACTTGAGCCAGCAAAATCATTCCTTCACCTTTGACCCCTCCATCCTCCGGCGCAGCTGGCATGAGAACATGACCTGGTATGGTCCTGCAGGCATCGGAGCCACCAGCAGCATCGAACGATATCAGGAGCAGCACCAGTTGCCCTTCAGAGCTCAGTTGGCAGACAAACGCTTCCATGGGCATCAGGTCCGGCTTCGAACTGTTTTGAGCTTCCGGATTTTTTTGAGAAGTAAGTCGAGTCGATGCCGGTAGAGGATGTCGTACGGGTCTGCGATGTGGTATTCAATGGTATTCATGTTTTAAGTTATAAGGAAAAAAAACATGAAAGACACAGCACATCGCATGAATCTGAAGTCAAACCTCAAGGTCCTTTGTTTGTTCATGTTACTGAAGTGCGTATTCTTGTGATTGCTCTACAGGTTCGGATCGCAGAGGGTAACTATGCAGCCTACTTCGGTTGGCCCATGAACCTCACGAACACCAACCAGGGCGGCTTTTTGGGCTTGCCGGGGGGCAAACCGGATGCGCCAATGCAGGAGAGTGATGGTCAAAATTGTATACTGGTAGATATTTGTAGTGTCTCTATAAGATTCAACATGCTGCTTTTCTTACGTCAATGTAGGTTGTTTACAGTTGCTGATGTAGGCTGGAAGGAGCATTGCATGTAACCTTCAACTGTATGGCAAAGATGATGTGGGATCTGAAGATGTTGTGCAAAGCTAGGCACAGCGGACATCACTAAAATGTTTTTTTTGGGTGTCTGCACAATTCCCTGAGGTGGTGGATGTCTACCGGAGGGAAGGAGAGAAGCTAGCAGAGAACTGGGTCTTCATTGAGACTTGGAGTTGGTTTAGTCGAGAACACTCCACAATCCGGAGCATTTTTGCACTTGCCAAGCGTATTGGCAGGTCTTCATCAATCCCAGTGCAGCAGAGAATTTGTAAGAAAGCCATTGCATTTACCCCAAACACTCCACAAAGAATCAGTGCCCTTGAAGTCTTATTAGGAGACTTGGGGGACAAGATAGCTGGCCATTTCCAAGATAGCTGGTGACTATTGGCCAACTGTTGGGGTGTCCAACCAAAACAAAACGTGAGTTTCTTTGGGATCGGCCCAGACGCGATGCTTGGCGGTGTCCACTCAGCATGAAGCGGTGCCCCGAGGATTTGTTGCATTACCTGAAACATCAGGGTGTCGATGTGCTGGAGAGGACGGTGAGGATTTTGAATCCAAACCGTCCACGTCCGAGTGAGGAGAGTGAGGAGAATGAGAAGGTGCCGGTGCCGAAGAAAGGTGCAGGTGCCTGCGCTGAGCTCAAAGGTTGGAAACCACCTGCTATGATCCAACAGCCACACTTCTAGGGTTTCTGTTAATTAACATATGTGTCAGTAACAAGTATATAACTAGACATACATCCCAGCAATGGTGGATTTGGGGGTTTTGGACCAATTTCAAGAAGAGAGGGGTTTATGATTGTTTATGTGTTTGTATAGCTATATATACACACTTTTTGTGTGCTTGTTTGGTAGTAGGATATGGTTGAATGCTACAGATGAGACTATTTGGGGCCATCCGTTCTTACCATTCTCACCAAAGCACTTAGCTGAGGTGGCTGAGCTTCGATGTCCAACAACAGTTCGAAACTACAAAGTTGTCAGTCATGCAATCCTTGACACAGCAGTGGCCAAGCGACTGAATCGTGGATGTTGGCGAGAGCAGGCATACCAGCCGTAAAGGGGACTCGCTGCTGCCATAATATTTGATCGATCAATGTTTCCTCACTGACGTTGTTGATGGAGGGTGATGCCGCACTGATAGCAGATTCCCAGCACAGGACAGAGACGCAATCCCAGGAATCCTCAAGTGTCCTCAACGACCTGGTTCTATGCTTTGGGCGACCGGGCTCAAACAAGCAGAGTCCAAGCAGCGGCACCATGCAACCATATCCATTGGTCAATGGCATTGGAGATCGAACAAGGCAGAAAGTCAATAAGTGGTGACGGCTTTGCTTGCTGGCGCAGTGTTTTCTTGTCAAACCGTGTGGGGTGTCACTGCTTGCTGGCGCAGGTCTGGATTGCCCGACCTACCTGACAGGTTTTGAGATGTTTAGTGCGCCGACCTGCCAGACAGCTTTTCTCCATCCAGTCCAGGCTTTCTTAGAGTATCAACATGATCAGACATCAAGGATTTCAGATCAAGCATGATGGTTTGCAAATCAAGCATGATTGCAGGTCAACCTTTGGTTTGCCAAAAGTAAGTATTTCTCGCATGCAAGGCCTGCAAGTGGTGCCGACCAGTTCGGGCGGCGTTGGATCCTAATCCAAGCTGTTGTCAACGAACTTTGAGGAATGCTTTCGCAGTTCCAAAAATCCAGTTTGCAACCCACATGCTGCAGACAACTAAGCTGGCCGCTGGATGAGGCTGCTGACCACCCCCTCAGAGATCAATGAACCTAAACTGGTGCCTGGAAGATGTCATGGTAGAGGCAGAGAGGCACAGCCTCCAGAATCCAATGCTCGCACTGGCAATGTGTGAAGATCATAGCCGAATCATAGCTGCATAGCTTGTCCCTTTTGTAGCAAGGAATATCATGTGCGTGGGCCAATCCACGAACAACCCAGCGACGGAAAAGGCCGCACTGTGCCGGCTGCACCCTGCAAGCTGTGACTTTGTCGGTATCGCCCATGCCTCCATGTTCGTGTTTTTCTCACCTGCAGCCATCTTTAAGAGTAAAATATCATGAGCGGAAGGAATAGCCACACAGTATGCCAAGATCCTTCAGTATCGACCACGTAGCTGAAAAGAATGGAGCTGTTTACTAAGTATGTTGAACACTCCTGACAAGCTTTAGACGTAATCATACGTCGACGTAGACATGTTATTGACATGTTGAGCTAGACATGTTGAGCTTTGACACGCCGCGTTTCAGGGCACCGATTTGGCATGCACAAACCCCGCACAAAAACTCTTCAGCTCCTTTTTGTCCCCTGCATCCAGCAAGCGATCCGCGTCCGGTATGGCAAAGCTTTGGCAAGGAAGTGGAGGAGGATTACATCCCCTGGTGGAAGCCTACACTGTGCCCAGGTTGAACGTAGTGCTGCTGAATCGGGCAATGTCCAAACTGTGGTGAGCTGCGGTGGGATGTTGGAGTGTAGTAGCGTGGTGAAACACCACTTCTGGATGATGCTCTCCCAGATTGAGATGTGGCTTCCCTTCTTCACTTGCTCAAAGTAGATCCTTTCATCTCCATTGCATTCCATATCGACTCTCGATCGTAATTACTGGACTCTCGACCACTCTAGCCATGTGTTTGGTTTTTTCGTGAATGAGTTGCTCGTCCCCCATCCAATTCCCATTCAGCCGCGCCATCCTCCCAGGTGGGCGAGGACGGCGTCCATTGGGATTCCCGGGAGGAAGGTGTCCATGGGAAATAGGGTCCTGGTTTTATTTGTGTTGACTTGTTTTTTGTAGCAGATTTAAGTGTCAAACACGGTCAAGGTGTCAACATTTGTAGACCAGGTGACCAGGCTCCATGTTTGTTTGAAGGTGAGCAACTCGGAACATGTCGCCATCCACAACGTTTCTGGGGTTGTAGGTTTTGACCCGAATTCATTGTGGAAGCTTGCCAGAGAACCGGAGAGAGTTTGTCGATCATTTTGTTCATGTTTGTTTCATCCCACATCGGCGTTGGCAGCCTTGTGGGAGAGCAATTTGAGGGGCGGCATAAACGTGCCAACACAATACAGTAATGTATTGCCAATGTTTCCTTGCACTCACCTTGTGGATCCCTGCCTTGCTGCTGAGACTCAACACCTTAAAGGACTGATCCTGGCTGGAGCGAGATATTTGAAACAGGTCTCTGGTCCATGCACCTCCCGACTGTGCCAGGACTTCCGTTTAGATGGCGAGGTGCTTTTGCCCTTCGACCTGAAAGCCAGCGCGGCTCACGCCACCATGCTGCAGAAGATCGGCGTGCTCACCAAAGAGGTCGCAGTATTCGCTTGGGGGCGGCCAAGGCAGCTGTGGTTGGGGTTTTGTTTTTGGATTCTATGAAATCAAAGAACATGGCGGGAGACACAATGAGGCACAATGAGATGGGTTATGAGCGGCGGGAAGCAAATTCAAAGCAACATTTGGATGGATTTAAGTTGGCTTGGATTTGCTTTCCTTCCAATTAAATCCTTCCAACCCCAAGACAAGAATTGGCTTGAATTTCCTTCCTTTAACCCCAAGACAAGCGTGAGGAGCTGGACACCTTGAAGAAAGCCTTGAAGGAGATCGAGGAACTTTGGAAGAAAGGTGGCCTTGGCTGCAGAAACCTGAAACCAGAATCGCACTTCCTATGAAGGGGTTTACATATGTTTTATCCGGATCGGGCAGTGTTCTCTGGCGCGCTCCCCCATTGGCTGGGGTCGGCGGATATACCTCCCCAGTCCCCACAACTCTGATTCAGATTGTTGAAGCAGACTTTCCTTAGACTATAGACACTCTGTAGTATACATGTTGGACATCCGAGGCTTGGGTGAAAGTGTCGACCAACCCCATTGAAGGCTCAAGCTAAGCATGCATGAAGCAGGTCAGTTCGAAGGGTAGTTGGTTGGACAGTGGCCCCGCAGGAACAAACTGCTTATAGGCAGCATGACATGCAGCCCAGGTGATTTCAAGGTGACGCGAAGCCAAGAAGACGGTCACACGGCCATCGAGCAGTACATCACCGAGACGCTCAGTTGACCAGGTGGGTTGATAGGTCCGAAGCAGTGAGGCCTAGAGTGATCTGTGAAGGGCTCAAATTCTGTTCAGATGTGTTCAGTTCGTGTTTGTTTAACTGTTGTTCTATGTTGTTTTATTCAGAGCTTGCTGGTGTGACACTGTGAGCTCCAGACAGAATACATGGTCACCCGCCATCGCAGATGTGTTCTTGAAGCTGCTGGCCATATCGTTTTGGACCGAGGAAGTATGGCGAGGTGGGCAAGAAGATCCACACCGGACGTTCTCGGAATGACCAGCCACTCGGGAGCGCACGCCGCGGACGCGTCGCTGCGCCGCCGTTGAAACCGCACCATGTAAAAACCGATACGATCCATTGTGTGTCCAAGGGAGGTGAGTCGACCCCTGAGTTGCAGCATCGTCTCCAAGATTTCATAGCCCGATCCCAACAAGAGACTGTTTGGGTGAGCTCGATCAAGAGCACAACATCAGACAGATCCAGCACTAGTGACAAATTTGGGCGGGTATGTAAGAAGAACCAGCTCCATAGACCAATTAGAGGCTATTGACACTTAAGGGAAAGTCTTTGAGGCATCAAGATGATGGAATTTTGGGTGTTTGACGCAGCAACAACAACTTGTCAGCTACATCAACCACAGCAGCCGCCACTGGCACACTCTCAGGCCCGGCCATTTCTCATGGCATTTCGCTTGGAACTGCTTGATGCCAGAACAGCTTGATGCCTACAACCCCTAACAGCCATGGAAGATTTGGGCAGCGCAGCTTCTTTTCCAGCTCGAGTGCTGGTGCTTGAGGTCTATGACGATGATCCGGCTCTATTCCTTAGAACAGCTCCCTGGCTCAAAGCATCGAATCGACTGCTGTTGCTTGAGTGAAGGGACGCAACTATGTTCAATCTGTTTTAGAGGGTTCATCAGCATCACTCTACTCATCTCTACTCGTCTCCCCCTCAAAAAGACAGGCTTCAGCTGGAGTGCCGGTTCGGAGAGCTTTGGAAGGAGCCAGGAACGGTGAGACGGGGCTTTTCAAGTTGGTTGGATGCGGAACCTCCACCAATACATCAGCTGGACACCAGTTCCAGTCGACGAGCTGAAGCACATCCACGCCCAAGGTTCCCCCTCACTAGGTGACCAAAGGGATCATCATTGAGTGTTTCCTTCAAGAAATATTCAGCACATTATATTTTAGATTTTAACGTTTATTGTATTTTAGATGCTTTGAACACTTTTTCATCCCACCCCTGCAAGTCGCGACAAAGACTCCTGAGGTTGCGCTTGATCCGGCAGCTGGCCAGTGATTTGGCAACAGCGGCCGAGGTGTGAATCGATGAACTTTGGGACTTGTGGAGCAATCTGAAGGCCATGAGTCCAAGGGGCCCAAAAGGAGTCCTCAGTTTTTGTCATACTGTAGTAGATGTGACAATACTGCCAACATCACGACCGTGTTATCGTTTCACCCACTTGAGGTAGTCATGTGGGAGAAGAGTTCTAGTTTTTGATATGATACAGAAAGGAGAAGTGGACTACGTCGGGGGTAGTAGACCAATTCCCAACCACATCATGTGAGCCCTCGACATAGCCTGGACCGCAAGGCTAGGGTCAGTGACTTCAATGCCGTGGCGATGCCAGGACGGGAGGGGTCGTTGTGATCAGCTGCAGGAATTCCGGAAATCATGGGCGTCTAGGAAGAGCCACAGTCTTTCTGCAGTTGTTGTCCATTTCTTCAGGAAGTCATGATGTTAGTGACAATTTGGGATGATTCGGTCAGCAGGGGCGTTTTTGAACGCCCTTAGTGCTCACAAGCAAACGAAGCCAAAGACATTTTTTCTGGCCACGACTCTGCGCAGGATACACCCACATGCAGCGGGCCATGCCCACCACCGTGGGCACCTGGCTGGGGTCCTTCGCCCAGGGCTGGAGGGACTCCACCAAGATGTTGGATGGCGCGTTGCTTGGACCACCATTCGGTTGGGCGGGCCGTTCGGTTGGGCACCCACAGATACGCAGCTGGTATCCATGTGGTTGTCACAATTATGTGGGCAAGTGAATTGAGGTTGTTTGGGTTGTTTTATTAACGGGGAACAGTAGCAATAAGTTGCAGATTGCTGATTTTGTAGCTATGTGGAACTTTCCACCAGGGAGGATGCGGTTGCTTGGATTCATTGTTTTATGTTGAATCCATGAGTGGTTGTCGACATGTTGTCGCACCAAAATGGGTTCTCTAGCATATCCCCATGATTCTCCATGTAAATGACAGACACATGCCTGAACCTTCTGTCCTGTGGGGACTTCCCAGAACCAGGGTGTTTGTGGGTGTCTATGGAATGTATGGGGGGCAAAGTATGGGGCAATCCAAAGGTAATACACTCTCCATCAATGGCTCGTACCTCCTATTACCCTCTCTCAAGCTGAGTCCCTTTGATCAAGCCAAAGGGGTGACCTTCTCTGGCCACCCCGACGCGACCGACCCGGTGAGGATCGGCGTCTTGGACCAGAACCCCCTGGGCTCCGCTGCGGGCTTCGGCATCAACGGTCTAGCGCTGGACCGCGCGGAGACGGCGAAGCTCTTGGGCTTTCAGATGCTGGGCGAAAAGAGCGACAGGGTCAATGACCCTTGGATGTTCTGGCATATTTAAATTAGAGGATGAAAATGGATGAAAACAATTTTGTGATGTGCTGAGGGGGTTCCTTTCATGGCATCGCAGGTGTCGGATGATGCATGTTGTTTTGTTCGAAGTTCAGCGGGTTTCGCGTTTTGTGTGCGCTGTTCAGCTGGTCAATGTTCCGCAGTTTCACGTTGTTTGTGGGAACTCGATGAAGTTGAATCACTCACAACAGCAACCCTCAAGGTGCAGCTTGATTGATCCCCGTTTTCCAAACGGCCGCATGAGGACAGTGCAAAGCAACCCCATGTGGCTTCGGCAAGATGGGGAGCTGCGTTCATGCATTTGTTTGAGGGTGGATGGGACAGGGTTGTTTCAGTGGTCTTTGACCGATAACTGACGGCAAAACTGATTTATAATCGCAGAGCAGATTTGCAACCTGGAAAGGAATCTTGAGCGATGTGTCCAACAAGACAAGCTCAAATTACTAAATTACCATCTGAAATCCAATATATCTTTTTAACAGAGTTCTTTTGCATAGTTTGACAGCTCAATGCCCATACTTCTCAGCCATTCCTGTAACTTCAGGGAGAAATATCCTCCATGCGAACAACTCTTTTGGCTGTTTGAGCCTTTGGGACGCGGTGGCGTAGTTGGGCATCGCCAAAGCACGATGAAAAAAGTTTGTTTTGCTGCAGGTATTGTGGCCTCAGCAGAGGGATGTTTGAGAACGTTGCTTTGCAGGCCAGGTGAAAGGTTGTCTTTGGTTGTCTTTGGGAGCTGGAGTATTTCGTTGATTTTCTTGGAAGCAGGACCAGAGATAAACGAACACACAGGGTTGCTCCCTGTTTTGTGGTGTCGGCGGTTTGCATGAAACATTGCCTCCCTGCTGAGAATGTATTTGGGCTGTTGATGGCTGTTGTGATGTAGACAGAATGTGGGAAAAGTAAAGCCAATATGATCATTTTGGTTCTCAATGTGTTATGTATAATACTGTAATATATATATATATACACAGATACACACATATTTTCTCAATCTACTGTAGTTAGGATGGTTTGAGATGCTGATTTGTTGATGACCGAGAGTCCCAGTGTGGAGATATATGTTGTTTCCTGAGATGTTGATTTGATGGCAAAGGAGCCATGGCAATTTGAGAGTGCGAGTCCAGAGAGTCCTTGTGCATTCTACTACTTACTACTGTGAAGGAAGGCTTCCAGCACCAACTCGCATGCACAGCAGTGTGCTGCTTCAGATGTCCTATATGTTTTCTTTTTTCTTTGAGGTTTTGAGGGATTACCTCTTCCAACAGGTAGTGTTGGGTGAAAATACGGAGAGCATATGAGTGCATTTGATACTGAGAAAAGTTCCCTTAAAATTTCCGCATGTAATGATGCACACGTGGTTTATCCCTGTTAGGAACCAGAGATGCGAGGATACCTGTCCCACTTGATCCTCCATGTGGCGTAGCCTCTCATCTAACTGATTTGCAACCTGGCTACCATGGACCCCAAACTCCAACCAGCATGGTGTTTCAATCTCCAAGACCTTGGTTGGCTGAGCGACAACAGCTGCTTGGCATGGTAAACTGAATATCCATGGCTATGAATTGGGTCTTCCCACCGGAACAACAGAACAGACCATTCGCGAGGCCATGAGCCTAGCGATGGTCTTGAGCTCTCGATTTGCCACAGAGACTTGGACGATTTGACCATTTCGTGACGAGCTGTGGCATCGTCGGGCTTGTTGCCCACCCGGCCGGAATGAGGTAGGTTTTGTTGTCTACACTCCCTATCGTGATCTCTGCGTCAGCGCATCACCCAGTGTAACAACAGACAACAAAACCATGGCACTGGTACAGCAGACTACAAACAGTGACACCCACAATGGCTAAGCATAACCACAACCCACAAAACCTGACAGTATACAAGGACAAACACTACAGCGGATGGCACACAATGACAAGGAACGGTAACACACAACATAACCTTAACACATGTAATACTTGACAACACACCAGGACAAACACGACAGCACACAGCAAGCAACGTCACATAATGACAACACCAAGCATAGCCACAACACACCGTGGCGCAGGGATGCCTCGCAAGTCACCCCGGCCCAGATATCATACCGGTGTATTTGGGTGGGGTTAGCTCAAGGTAAAGTGATTGTTTGTATCATTTTCACCATACTTTTGAGATGAAGAGAGGAACAATGAACAGATACTTGTATGATACAAGTCGTTCCATTTGAAGGATATATGAAAACAAAGTCTCAGAGGAGGTGATCGGTCTCACTCTGGATGACCAGGGATTACCTACAAGACAATTTGACAGCAAAATCTCTTGGGTACACCGAGAGATCTGGGTTTTGACCCACAGCTAGCTAGTGGGTTGACGAGGAGCATTGCAGATGGGGCAATCCATTAAGGTCGTACGTGTCTTTTCATCTTAGTCATGCAGCCGGTGGTTCTCTGATAATGTTGATGCTGATGATGATGGTTGTGATGCCAGCCTGGCGAGGACATGATGATGTTCACTCAGCAAGAGACCTTGTTCTTGGCACTGCCTGACAACTTTGTGACAGGCTGGGTAAAACGCCAGGCAGCTGGCTAAACTGAAATTAGTTGATCATGTTGATAGAGAATGCTTTCCCGCCAGATTTCACCAGTAGGGATGCTGTTCCCATTAAGTAGACCCGATGGCTTTGGAGTAGTTCTCTCATATCATGCTGTCCATCAACGGCTTCTAGTTTCAATCATGACAAACTCTGTTTTTTTCTGTGACAAGTGTTCTGCAACAACTCTGAGATCGAACGTGAAGAGATAGAGCACGCGTTCGACCTTGTTAGGTCTAGTTTGTCTTAGAACTTTGGCAGATCGAACATACTGTTCAACATCCTGCAACAGCGAGGATATGATGGGGATAGTGGAGACACTGCAGTGGACCCACTGTAAAGCCGAAGGTTTATAGTTCAACCAATGTTCGCAAGGGGTGTTCGCTTCCACATGTTTCCAAGCAGAGAGTTCGGCACCTGGGAGGTTCTTCCATCATGCCCCAGAAGAAGAACTACGACCTCTTCGAGATCATGCGGGCCAATGGCAAGGCGAGGAACCTGTTCTCCGGAGACTTTGTGAACTATCCCATTTGGCGGCTGAATGCTTAGACTTGACTTCTGGCCTGGTAACGAGCCTCGCGCGCAGAGCTCAAAGTGCCTGAGTTGCCATTTCAAGGATGTTCAAGGTCATGTAATGTCTTTTCCTGTTATTTTAAGTTTGTTTCTGTATACCAGTTCCCCACCAGTCAGCCGTCGCCTTTTCCCTACCCGGCTCTCTATCCCGAGAGAGCAGATCATTTCAGGTTTTTGGCTCGTTGCAAATGCAGATCCAGGAGAGCAGTGGCCCGAGATTCCGTGGCGCATCCACGATGGTCCACAGGTTGGGATATGGAGCGCTGTGCACCACTAATGGAGAGGTTCTCTTGCCCCACTCCATGGAAGCCCACTTTTGTTCACTCAGTAGGTGCATTGCATAAAACGGAGAGAGGATTACTGCTGTTTCCAGGCGGAATGTGGTTAGCTTAGGGGGGCACTGGTCATATTATATTGGTTCTAACTACTGATGGTGTTTGCATTCAAAAGACACACCTAATATGGAGGATCACAGACGTTGGCGTTGGTCTCATGGACTCTATGTGGATCCCGCACTGCTAGTTCAGGGTTTTTGCTGCCGTCCTCTTGGACAGTACTGGACCCCCAGCGAAGTGTGACCATTAGGGACTGTGCCAAGAGTTTTCTTCAACACTTCAGAAATTCATGTTTACCAACCCGTTTACCGTCCCACGTTTGGTGTCCGTTTTCATGATGCTTTGGTTGGATCATGGTTGGGGTCGGGTGTTCGGTGCGGGGTGGTGTGAATCCACACACGTGGCGTTGACAGCTTCTAAAGCAAGATGAAGGACGCTAGTCCCTCATCTATCTCCTCAAAGAAGAATGACAGACCGAATCCGAAGCTGTTGTAATATGTCCGATGCATGCAGTGGCGATCGTAAAAAGCATGGATAAGTGTTCACGGCCCAAACGTTCGAAGAAGAAGGCATCTTGTTCGAAGCGGTGTTTGTTCTTTAAGAAAAGAACTTCTCCTGCACAGCAAAGTACACTCAATCAAAATCCGAGAGTTTTCGGTCCAGGATGTGTGGGGTTCTCCTGTTTGTTTGCCAATACAGCACAACCATTGCCACATGATGATTGGCCTCCCAAGTTATCGATCGATACAGCTGCCTGGAGATGCAGCCGGCTCATCCGGAGGGAGGTTGCAAGAATGACTGCATGCAACACGCGTGCAAATAGCCTCCAAGATTCGGCAAAGTGTGACAAAACAAGAAAAAGGCTTGGTGCATTCACGTGTTCGTTCTTCCAAATTGTCAGGTATGCTATTTTGACCTTTACATTACATTTAATGGCCTCCCATGCTCCTGTGACGATTTGTGTCGCGGGCGGCACCAACAGCGGCAAATCGTCACTCATCAATCGAATGCTCGGCGCAAACGCTGTGTCACTTGGAAGTGCTCCTCTTGTAGAGGTCACATGTTTTTGGTGTTCATCGTTCAGCTTTGTGTGTGTTAATTAAATTCAATTAATTTGTCGGGCAACTATACAAGGTATGTTTATGTTGTTTGGTCCAAATCCCTCATTGATTCGCAGGCCAGTGCACCAACAAAGCTGCACGTCAACTACGATCAGCTTACAGCCTAGTAGGGATCGAAACTGCCGGCTTACTCAGCAAGGTCTTTCAGAACCCGTGGTGATTGGGACACTTGAGGACGGGGCAAACCAATGTTTCTTTCATCTTCCCAAAGCAGCAAACCAGTTACAGTAGATCAAAATCCGGATACAGTTGTTTGTGAACTGGATGAATGAGCCTCTCGGCAAATCCTAATAGCTGGCCTTGCTGCAGGAGGTGCAGACGAAATTGAAGGACTTGAACAACATCAATCGTGTTGCAACAGAGCAGGGCTCAGTGGACATCATCACACATTTTGGCATTGAGTGCCCGTTTCCAGACTTCCTGCAAGTCCCGGGGCAACCGCCGCAGACGAAGATCTTGGACACGCCTGGTCCTGACGAAGTTCTAAACAATGTGGTCAGGGGCTTTGCTGAGAAAGCAGTCCGCTTGAGCGATGTGGTGCTTTGTCTTGTCAGGATGCTTTTCATTGCTTCAGTAAGGGCTGCCTACTGTCTAGTCCAGTCCTGTCTAGTTTATGTCAATCTAGAAAGGCGTAATTGCTGGTCCTTGGGCTATCAGACTATCAGCAGCATGCAGCCAAGGATGGATGAGCCAAGGTCAGCCTCGACCCAGGAGAGGTTGCTGTGGATCCGACGGCTGGCACCGTTTCACTTCAACGATGAAACAACAATGTATCGAGTTGCTTTGGTCATCACTCGAGTCGATGAAATTGAAGCAAGCAATGGTGAGGAGGACGCAGTAGACCCAAAAGACCTGACATCCAACTTGCGCAAGCTGGTTGCATGCTCTTTTCCAGATCTCCAAAGATTTGCAGAACACATTCCCATTTTTCTGGTGAGCAGCAAAAATGTTGGTCTTGCCCAAAGGTCCAGGTGCAAGACAAAAGCGCCACTCTATGAATGGGATGCTTTGGTGCAGTTCCTGCAAGACAAAGCCATGTCAGGACAGCATGTCATTGAAGCTCGGACGAGAGATGCTGGTGCTTGGTTTGGCAATCTCGCCATTGAATGTCTTCACTGCAATGAAATGGTTGCAGCTTCAAGAGGTTTCCTGCAGTCTCTGGACAGTAGGAACAAGCAGGATACTATGTGGGAAATGCTGTGTTTCAGTCTCATGTTGCTTGCTACTTTTGCTGGGGCTACGACTGAGCAAGTGCAAGAGCGCATAGTCATCAGCGCTGCTTTGCAAGGGGCTGTAGTATGGTATAAGACTCACAAAGCTGCAAGCGTTCATTCGCTTTTTAGCTACCAAACTGCGGCAGGGTTTGGAGTGGAGCCAGTGACAGAGTCCATGAAGCATTTCAAGCCGCCTGCGAGCCGGGCTGAGATTGCAACTGGCCAAGTCTATGAAGATGTGATCAAAGGGAAGGATGCACATAACAATGATGTAGGCATCTATTACGGTGATTGCCATTGTACTGGTATGGAAAGCAAACCTCATGGCAAAGGTCGAATTTTTTGGCCCGACGGGAGCTTGCTGTTCTTCGGACACTTTGAGAATGGAATCATGAAGCAGGGGTATCTCATGGATCCCGATGGCAATGTGCAAGGCTTGTTTGAAGTCCGGTTTGAAGTTGACAGGTTCGTATTTCACCCGATCTTCTATGATTCAAATTCTCCGTCAACATGGACCAAGCCCCGCAGCCTTGCTTGTGGTGACCCACGAGTGAAGCTCACTGACACTTGCACTTTACAAAAGCTTCAAGAGCTGATGGACGATTCATACAAGCCTGCTAGAACCAGAGACAGAAAATGCCCTTGCTGGCATTTTCTTAAACCACATGCCGGAAGATGTCAGCATCTTCCGACAAGGTATCAGATTTATGAAGCGTTCCGCATCGAGAATATATTCTCATGGCTTCCATACTACAGACGCAGGACCGGTGTCCGCCGCACGTCGGCTTTAAAGCCCCTCGCATGGTCTCGCGCCAGTAGTGCGGCCTTGCACGAAGGGCTTCTAAACCAACATGTGCCTGTGGTGTGAGGAGCCCAGCATTTTTGAAGGTTGTAAACGCCCTGGAACCAGGTGTGTGTTTTTCTATGTGTTTCTCATTAGAGCATGAACCCCTTGAGGAAGGAGATGCCTTCAGGTCCCCCTCTTGGCGTGGCACTACGCACACTTGGCAAAGGAGAAGGTTTGGATTTTGGCGAGCCTATGGATGCTTCGAAGAACCTCAGCCAGTAATTAGATGTATATAATTAGTGACCATGTCATTGGGCAAGGACAAAGAGAACCGAACCCTAGAGGCCTGAGATCTGGAGACATACTCCAGGTATCTCCAGGTTGCATTTGCATTTTGGTTAAATTCCACAGCGATCACTGATCAACTTGGCCCATTAAACCCTCTTTTCCGACAATTGAGGAACGAAGTTCTTCTATTCCATGGAAGTCATTGTGGCAGCTGTCTGAAGATCGCAGAAGCATGCCCTTTTGCCAGTTTCTCCAGATTTTCCCCTTGAGGTTTGATCCCTTAAAGTGCGTGAAGCAGAAAAGTTATCCAAGGTCAGCATGGTAATGTTATGCTATGTTATGCTGTGTTTTTCTTTAGCTAGTTTGCCCAGACCGAGGAAACCAATTTCAAGACAGCTATGGCTGGAAGAAGGACAGGCAGTTTATACGGTCCTGGCTTGTACATGTCAGACTCTTGTACCAAGGCAGATGAGTACGCTTCTTCAGATAAGGATGGTTTCTTCAAAATGCTCCTGGTGCGATGCACTTTGGGGGACGCCTATGTTTCGAGCAAAGAGACAGACGATATCAAAGGATGCCCACAGGGCAAGCACTCAGTGATCGGTGACAGAGAGACATTAAACGGCACCTTCAAGGAATGTGTGGTCTATGACTCTGCTCAGACATATCCTGCTTACATCATCCGGTACAAGCGAATCTTCCATTGAGTCATTGAGTGGATTCAAGCATTCAGGGTTGGAGCTACTACTGTAAGTGTTCCATTAGTTGGTTATATTGCCCAACTCGTTCTCAACAAAACGGCAAGCACATATACGCAATACACAATACTGTATGTTTATTGCAAACATGCAAACCATAGCAGGCTGAAGCGGAAAGGTGGCTTGGAACGGAAACAACAGAAGCCTGAAGCTGTACCTGACATAACCAGCAACACAAGTGTTTGGAAGGTCCTGTTCACGCTGATCATTCTGGTAGGGTGGTCAGCTGAGCAGAATGTTTCAGCCCGAAGTTTTGACAAGACATAAACGAGCTGCAATGCAGCTGCAAGAGCGAAAAGAGGTGCGCAAACTGGAGCAAAATGGCCGTTTCACCGACACTGGTTGAATTTCCTGGAGTATGATCCGAACATGTTTTTGCGCTGGGGCCTTGTAGTTGGAGTTGCTGTGCCCGAGACTTGGTCTGGCTGATTCATGGCGGCTCTTGATGTGATGATTGTAATGATAGTTCAAGCCCAGAGCACGGTACTTTGTAGTCTAAATTTCAGCCATGTCCATTTTGCCAAAGACAACATGCCAACGTGTATTGTGTTGAGGGATGGTTGACCAACTGCAAAGGAATAACAAAGCACCCAGGCAAGGTCCTTGATGTGTTGGAGACACTAAGCCTTCCAACATTCTTCCAACATCTTCCAACTGTTCCGACTGGACGCCCACCTATCCGCCCTGATAGGAGACGATCGTGGGTTTGGGCAGTGGATATCATCGTGACTTGCAGTGCACCAAGAAGGCCTTTGTAGAAGCCTGCAACTTGGAAGCCATAGCCGCTGGTCTTGAAGCCTGAATCTCGTGGTTGGAGCCCTCACTAAGCGTCCCAAAGAAATATCAGTGGAGATGCAGTCTTCAGTGGGGGGTCTGGGACTGGGACATGAGAGTGTGATGACTGGGTTGGACCCGGTGGGTTGGGAGTTGAAATGAACTGGTGAATCACACCATAAAATCGTCCCAGAACCGCCCTCCTTTGTGTGTGTGTCCACATTAATCAAACATAATGTAGTGTGTTATTTATGGTCAATATTTTCCTGCACCACCCTGGAGATTCTGAAATCGGAGCACCTGATTAATCGGCGGTCCTTCCAAAGATTTCTTGAACAACTGGAACTTTTAGATCTTTTAGACTGCTTATATATGCATGTATAATGTACAACATTGGATAAGGAAGTCTCCATATTGTTTGACGTACCCAAATGAAAACCGGTTTCCGTGTTTTTTGGTGGGCAGGCAGTCAAAGTTCACCTCTTCTGTTACAGGCGAGCTTGGTACCTCTACGTTGGCCTTGCTCAAGGAGGTGCCGAAAAAACATGAAGACGGCAAGGGGCGGGAGGGTTGGATATCCTTCTGTGAAACTTGTTCCTAATATGACAAGGGGAATTTCTTGAGTGCCTGTTCTTTTCCACAAAGTTGCACTTTCTCCCTGCAGTGTTCAAATGGCACATAATGGCACTGCTGAAATAGGATCTACACTATAGCTCACCTGTCCCATCACACGCCTTTTTTGCAGGCATCGCCATCCTCATGAACCGAAGCCTTGGGACAGATTGGAGCCGCCTGACGATGCCCCAAGCTTGACCCTGACCCCTTGGTTTGTACGCACGAATGTGTTGGTTCAACCCAGGAGTCAGGCCTAAAGTTTTCATTGGCATGGATTCAAGCATCTCTCAGCTGAGAGACCCCAAGCCAATCAATCGAAAACCACCAGGTGCAAGTGACAATATGTAGAAGTTTTGCTTGAACCTTACAGGAAATGAGAATCCAATATTTCAATTGGGCAAGGGTGAAGCGCTCCTCCAGGTGATCCCTGCTTTGCAAGTGAGAGAAGAAAAACTCAAAGCTGCCATGACTGAGGACCTTGGGACTGGGTAATGTGGGCATACAATGTGCATTTTGTGGGATTACAGGCAAACCAGTATATAGTCAAATTGGTTAGTTTCTGCTTTACTGTCCTACTATGCTGAGCTGGGTGTGTGAGAGTTGCCATGTTGGACTCTGTAGAGGGAACTGAAGTATTGAGGTATTGAGGGTTCCTGTTCTATTCTGGAACCCTTGGGAGTGTTTTAATGCTTGGCCAAGTGACTCCATGTCTTACCCGACTCTTGAGACTAGGTTTAGACCATATCCTTCAGGTTTGGGCAATTCATCCGTATTGTTCGGGTTCTGAATGAGTATCATACACCACCAATTGTCATTCTTATTCCTGTATGTGTATGTACATATCATATATATATATAGAGATAGTAGTAGCTGATCGACATGGTTAAAGTTCTATAGTTGATTGAAGGCCCATTGACATCCACAACTCAACCTTTGGACCTGACCAAACTGCCACGAAGAACAGAGGGTCAGCCCTTGGACTTGGCCCAATAGCTGTCAGAGGTCACAACTTCTCAGGGGGGTGTTCCAGTGGTGAGGGGGTCACAACATCATACAACATCAGAATTCCTTGCTTTCTTGGTGTTGTTGGCCTGTGCCCCAAATTCCTCGGAAAAGGACCTCTACGTGACGGATGAGGTCTATCAGCTGGTGGCCAAAGGGAAGGCCTTCCGGGAGGCGGGATCCGGTGATCCGCTGAGACTTGCCCAAATATCGAGCTGCAAATGGATAGAAGATAGAAAAAACGCAACAATGGGTAAGACTTTGTGAGACTTCAATCAATTTCAGAAGCAAAAACGTGAACGGTGAGACTGAATGAGGTCACTTCAGATGTCCTGCGTGCCTATTGTTCCAATCTTGGGTTTGGCCACGACCGAACTGGACTGTTCAGAAAGTCTTTAGCAGGTGATGATGTCAGTGGCAGTATGACCCATGTTTGGCCAACAACCTAGTGACTCTACAATCGTATCCAGTGCTTACATCATGCGAATGGAAGTGCAGCGACACGTACAGTGCAACTTGTACATATATATGTACCATATGTACTTTGGCTCAAGGATCAAGCGACTAGAAAAGGTGCGGTTTCCGTTCCGACGCTACGCCGCTTATGGACCGTCAGTGATAGCTTCAAACTTCGCTGATTAAGATCCACTCGCAGGTTATCAGCCGTACGCGCTCTTTATAGCCGTACGAGCTACACGAGACCAAGAACAAGACTAGTCATTACAGAAACCTGCAATGTCAAGCTCAGGAGGAAATGGAAGCGAACCCTATTCATTCGCTGCTCCTGGTGGTCCCAACACCATTTCGTCACCAGACTCTACAATGGGTACTGATTCATCAGCAAGTGCTGACGTTATCACTATGCCTACTGGATCACAAATCTCGGAAAGATCCGTGCCACCGGCTCGGAATCTGACCGATCTTGCACCCGTAGGACCAAGAAGATCGATGAGAGCTACAACAAGATCTACATCGCCTATAACGTCTACCGCGAGATCCCCAAGAAGGAGTATAGAGAAGAGACGTGACGATGATAGAGGAACAAAAGAGCAAAGAAGAGAGATTCAGCTGGGTGAAGAATTGAGATCGGCGAGAAACGCATACAATTTTCTTCATGAAGAATATGAATGCATCCAAGCCGGATACTCACGACTACACCACGAGGCTGAAGTGGAGTTCAGGCAAATGTCTGACTACAACAGGAAGATGCAGGAACATCTACAAGAGATGACACAGGAAGATGAAGGAGCGACAATAAGAATTGAAGAGCTCGAACACAAGCTACGCTTGGCGGAATCGACAGCTGAACATATCTACATGAGATATCAAGAGCTTGCACAAGAAACTCATCAAGAACATTCAGAGCTTGAATCTGTGAAAGCAACGAAGGACAGAATGTCCCAAGAGCTTCAAGCAGCAATTGGACACATCCAAGAACAGAATGAATCTTCATTGGCGATCAATAGAAGATCAAAAGCCATTCAGGATGAGAACACAGCCTTCGTCGGAATAGCTGACCAGATACAAGCTAGAATGATTGCGCTACAGGATGAGAATGTCAACATGCACGAGGTGATCCAACACCAGAGAGAAGAACAATGGAACAGTGAGGTCAGGGAAAGACGTCTTCAACACAGTGTTCACTCATCTCAAGATCGGAGCAATCAGGAAGCTATGGTTATTGATCATCTACGAGGTCAACTAGCTATGGCACGTGGAGCTGAACTCAACGCGAGAGCGGAGATAGAAGAGATGGAAGTGGGCATGAGGATGGAGATATTTGTATGCCAGACTGAAGTCTCTGCTAAAGAAATGGCAGAAATGAAGGCGAGCCACCATGAATACGAAGCAAACGTCGCAAAGGAGGTTATCGCAAAAGGAGAAATATTCAACAACGAAGTCCTAGAAGGTTCCATCCGTGAACGACAACAGTTGAAAGACGCCAACCTCGCTCTATCCGAAGCCAACGCACAGCTGAAAAGAGAGAATATGATGAGAGCTCCTATGTTCGGCGATGATGGTGCTGAAATTCAACAGAAGATCAGAGAACTGGAGAATGCACTATTGGAAAGCCAGAAGGAGACAAAGAATGTCATTATGGAAAATGCGAAATTAAAAGCAGAAGCACGAATGGCACCCATAGTCTCTCGGTACAGCAAGCGTCCTAGTTCCAGAGACCGCGGGTTACCAACCCACGCGTCCGAGGAAGATGAGATTCGGAACGCAAAAGAGGAGGCGAAGCACTACAAGGACGGGTACAATGAAATTACAGAGAGCCGAGATGAGATGTATGAATGGTATGCCGAAACCCACAATGAGTACGCCGAGGAAAGGGAGAAATCAATTGAGCTATCCGAGGCGAACAAATCATTGAGGGACAAGATTTCAGAAGCAGAAGCATCCTCTTCATCTCATCTTGCACCGGCAACCTCTACAATCATGAAAGTATCGAGGAAGGAAGAATCAAAGATAAACGTTCCGTCATGGCCCAGGATCAATGATCTTGGACTATGGAAGGCAAATCTCATTCAATCGATCATCATTGCGGCCAATGATTCAGATCAAGAGCCCTGGATCGACTGGATCAAAGAAGCCATGGACGATCCTGATCCGGACAAGTTTGTCGACTCAGGAGACCAAAGATTCCATTCAATCGATGCCAAACTCGGCCTAGCTCTTACCAAGGTCGTCATGGATGCGAAAGATGATGGTTCAGGTGTAGCTATGAAGTTGAGGACGAGGATCAATGCAAAAGGGAGAACATCAAGCCTCATAAAGGGAAGAGAGGTCCTAGCCCTGATCCTTATGAATTTCAAGACAACATCAAATGTGGAAGTCTTATATACTTCAATGCACCTCTACCAACTAGAATATCAAGGAGACAAGAACTTATCGTTGTTCTTCCACACTTGGGATGAGATTCTGGCAGGAATGAAGCCCGTTGACGTCCCGAGCGACGAAACTCTTCGGGATCTCCTATGGAGAAAGATCAGGAACTCAAACCTCATGGCATACGACATCAGCGCCTACAACAGCATGAACGACGATGATGCCAAGAAGACATACAAACATCTACGTGATATGATCAGAAGGCACATCGAACGGCAAACTGAAGACAGGATGATCCTGGAAAAGGAGAAGGCAGTGAAGAATGTGGCCAATATCTTTCAGAATCTCAAACCAGGCGGACCTGCTCCAAAACTGAAAGCTGCACCAGCTGATCCGAAGAAGAAACCAAAAGGGCAACAAGAACAGGTTGTCTCAGAAGACGCTGCTGCAGTGAAGCCGAAACCCAATCCCAAGAAGCATCCTGAAGACAAGAACAAAAAGGGAAAGGGGAAAGGTAAAGGTGATGGAAAGGATCGCAGCCGAAGTCCGAGTACAGACAAGAGGAAGATACCATGCAAATAC